GTGTCTCGACTAGAGAGTGTGAGCTGGTCCGTGTCTCGACTAGAGAGTGTGAGCTGGTCCGACTGTGTCTCGACTAGAGAGTATGAGCTGGTCCATGTCTTGACTAGAGAGTGTGAACTGGTCCGACTGTGTCTCGACTAGAGTGTGTGAGCTGGTCTGACTGTGTCTCTACTAGAGAGTGTGAGCTGGTCTGACTGTGTCTACTAAAAACAGTGTGAGCTGTTCTGTGTCTCTACTAAAAATAAGAGGCTCAGCACCTGTAGCTCAGGGGTTAGGGCGCTAGCCACATACCCAGAGCTGGCAGGTTAGAACCTAGCCCAGGTCAGCTGAACAACGACAACTACAACCAAAAAACAGCCGGGCATTGTGGCGGGTGCCTGTAGTCCCAGCTACTGGGAGGCTGAGGCAAAAAAATTGCTTAAGCCCAAGAGTTTGAGGTTGCTATGAGCTATAATGCCGTGGCACTCTACCCAGGGTAACACAGTGAGACTCTGTCTCAAAAAAAAAGAAGAATATGAGCTGTTCTGACTGTGTTTCTTACCCAGAAAAACTCAATTCTCTGAATCGCTTGTTTTCTGAGAAAACATGCTCTAAAGAGCTCCATACGTGCCAGGGCCCAGGATATAAAACAAACCGTGTTCTCGAGCGCTCCCGTGCTGCTTCCCAGGACGGTTTCTCAGAGTCGTCTGAACGGATGAAGTCTGACGACTGTTTAGAAGCTCTGCAGTTCCCCGGGATTCTCCCTCCCACAGACCCTGACAGGACACACAGTGGACTTCACTATCCACATCAGCTCAGCAAACCCATCTATACCTTGGGGACTGACTTAGCGTCCCTATATGAGGCACTCAGGAGGACAGAGAGGGCACTAGCACATGTCCATGCTCCCTGGTGCTGTCCATCCACCCAGCAAGAAACAAACCACAGTTACATTTGTTCCTAGGAAGCCACAATCACAGGGCCCCACGGTCAACCTCAGTTTGAGGACCAGGAACATCGCCACATGGAAGAGAGTAACTGCTTTTGTTCCGTCATCACCAGGTTATGAAGTGCTCACATGTGCTACTCACTACTGAGCCTCACCACTCAGAACAAAGGGGTCACCGTGAGCTGAGCCGCCAGCCCCAAACCGGGCCCTTCACTCGCCTCCGCCAGAGGATCCCCAGCGCACGTGCAGCTGGTGGTCTGGTGCCTTATATTACTTAAATCTGACTGAACACAGACTGGCCCAGTTCCCCTAAGGAGCTCCCTCCAAACCCTATTCCTTTCACAACATGCACAGTGGGACACAGGAGACTCATGACCCTGCCTGTGCCACTAGCCTGTATGAAAAGTCCTGGGGGAAAAGGAAAAGGTGGTTCACAAATCCTGTTGCTTCACAAGCCTCTTCTTGCTTTTTAGCTTTTAATGAAACTACACACTCCACAGGAAGTCAGGAGGCACATAAAATCACAAGTTAAAGCCGTAGGAGTTTTCCAGGTAGAGGGAGCAGGCCGTGGGCTCACCTTCCCCCAAAATGGGCAAGGGAACTCTACCCCTGAAGAAGCGGAACCATGCAGGAGACACCTGGGACCATTCTGGTCATTTGCAGGGAGGGGAAGCTGCCCTAACAGGGTCACCAGAACACCAGAAGGGGCAAGCCCAGCAGAGGATGCAGGATGGAACTCGAGGTGTATGTGGGTGTGCCAAGGGGGGCGGCTGCCCTCCCTGCAGGATGAATTATTGGTCCCAAAGATAAGTGACATACCAAGATGGAAACGAAGTGTATTAGTGGCCAGAAGATGGTGCCAACGGGCACACATCGGCTCATCGTGTTGGACACAGATAGCTTTAAACATCAAGTCTGCTGTCAACTAATGTAAGTTCTCTAAGCACTCTGTCCAATAAAAGGAAAGCCTGAGTATCAGCTACAGAGTAAAAGCACCTGGGAGAATGTCGCCAGAGAGATGCCATTGGGCTGGTAGCCACAGAATCTGCTGTGGCTCTGTCTGCTCAGCAGCAACCCAGCCCCAAATCCACACCAGTGCCTGAGCTCCCACTTCTACCTCCCTGCTACTGTCAAGACTACCAGCCCACGCTGGTTTGAGTCACATGCCCCCACTGTCTCCATCCTGCAGGAGAAATCCCGGTTCTCTGACACTAGCTTGTCGTCCTACCCTGGCTGCACAGCCACTCTCCTCCGGCAACTCATCAAACAGCTTTGTCGTAAACACATTTCTGGTCATTTCTGTAAGTGTTACTGTCTCTGCAGCAGGGTCAAGGCCCTTAGTGTTAGAAAGGCAAATCGTGTTTTTCCTTCCCCCACCCCCCACCCCCCGACACAGTCTCACTTTGTCGCCCCCCCACCCCCGTCGAGTATGGTGGTGTCACAGCTCACAGCAACCTCAAACTCTTGAGCTCAAGTGATTTTTTTGCCTCACCCTCCCAAGTAGCTGGGACTACAGGCACCTGCCACCATGCCCGGCTATTTTTTTTTTTTTAAGAGACGAGGTCTCACTCTTGCTCAGGCTGGTCTCAACCACCCACCCCGGCCTCCCAGAGTGCTGGGAGGAAGGCAAATCTTTTTCACCCAGGAGATCCTTAAACAGAACATCAGGTACACCTCAGGGGCTGTAGGTGTGGTCCCAGACCACCGCAATAAAGCAAGCCATACGTATGTGTGGGTTTCCCAGTGTGTGCGCTCATCATGCCACAGTCGCCCCAGTGTGCCAGGCTGTCTTCAGTGTCACACACCTGAGATGACACACTGCTGCACACACACAGGGACGCAGAGTGAGCACCTACGGGCAGAGCCCACGTGGCGCCAGGGGATTCGCTCAGGGCAGGGTTGTTGCAAACCTCCAATTTGTAAAAAGTGCAGTAAAAGAAGGTGTGTTTGCAGGAGGGCCCCCGCTGCTCCTGCGAGGGCCAACAGCTCCTCTGGGACTCACAGTTGGCAGTGCCACTCACCACTTTCTGGGGCTCTTACCAGAGCGAGTTCCAAGGGCAGGGACTGCCAAGGCTGGAGCCCAGACAGTGCCAGGCACCACACAGGACCAAGCGCTCCCCGGCTTGCTCATCATGACACATGTTTGTTTCAAGATTCCATTTTTAGAGCCACATCACAGACAGTAAAAGGGAAATGTGTAGTAGATGAGTAACAGACTTCCTGTATGAGCAACTGGGTCAGAGGACCAAAGGCGTTTTGGCGTGTGCAGCAGAGAATGTAAGGAAGCCTTCTGCAGAGCCACCAGCAGAGGTGGCTATGGGAACCCTGCCCCCAAGGGCCACCTCCCTGCAGCCCCTGGCCATGGAGTGGTCGCACTCCCAGCCCTCCAAGTAAAGGACAGGGAAACCTGGGACACAGGAGAGCGAAGTGGGGGCCACCCAGGTTCTCAAGGTGTCCCATGCCTGGGTGGGGCGAGGAGCTACAGAAATTGAGACAGCCGCAATATGAAAAAGGGCCTTCAGCGGCCCCACTAGGAACCCCATCCAGGAACTTCTGCTCATACTCAACAGCTTTCATGATGGGGGAGGCCAGAGACCTTGGGGAGCCTCAGGGTCTTAAGGGAGAGCCGGAGGAGAAGCCTATAGGGTGCCTGCGTGTGGTGTGGGCCACCCATGGAACCCCCAGGTTCCCTTGCAGGCAGGCCTGGTCAGAGTCACATCACTGGCACTGGACGGGGCATAGCATCTGGCCAGTAAGAAGATGGGGAGAACACTCCCCAGGCACCCAGACACCACTGAGTGACCAAGTCGGTACATTCCCACCACACTGCCCTGGTGTGCTGCAGGAGGCCTTCCACGGGCAGGATAGGCTCACCTGAGCTCTCACTGGTTTTTTTTTTTCCTAGACAGAGTCTCACTTTGTTGCCCTCAGTGGAGTGCTGTAATGTAGCTCACAGCAACCTCAAACTTTTGGGCTCACAGTAATTCTTTTGCCTCAGCCTCCTGAGTAGCTGGGACTACAGGCACCAGCCACAAGGACCGGCTATTTTGAGAGATGTGGTCTTGCTCTGGCTCAGGCTGGTCTCGAACCTGTGAGC